TTATGCAGGTTAATGCAGGTTGGGGCCTTTGAGGTAGCCTGGGACCAGGTTCCGCATTGTGGAAAACAGAAGAAAAAGTCAGCGTTAGCGAAAACAAAAAATTGGCGAGCGAAGCGAGCCGAGAGTTACCGATCAGCTCGCTTCGCTTTCTGAGCCTGGTCCCAGGTTAGCTCTAAGGCTGATAATGAATTGGAGCCACACCAACAAATTATTAAAGAGAGATGCTGGAACCTTTCAGGTGTGTATTTTTTTTATTTTCCAGACAATAATCCCCACCATTGCTTGTTTTTCTGCTGAATCCGTCAATTTCTTATTGCATGNTCTAAACATTTGGAATATCATCACTCATGCCGGCGCCGAGCTCTCTAACCAGCAGGTTTGGTTTTTCTTGTCGACAATCTCCTCTTTCCTTTCGATTTATTGCCTCGCAGCATTGGTGTTGTCCATAGCCATGGGAAATTACTACAGCCAAACTTTAAACTCCAAACGGTTTATTGCGGTTTTTTTGGTAGTTTGCACCGCGTTGTTTCATTTCTTTGGACGCCGAGATGTGTTTTGCAAGAATGAAAACTGTTTTGGTCTATCGCTCGCTAATGCCGAAAGAGCAGAAGAAGCCGAAACTACTCTTCTTGGTACTGTGGTAGTGTTTACTTTCATACCAATATGCGTTTGCATCACGGCCTCTATATACATCGGCTTAGTGAAGTATAACAGACTTAAAGCTTCAAAACCAGAGTTGAAATTTCTTCAAGTTTGTTTTCGAGTTAATCAAGCATGCCCTGTTTTGAACTTCATTTTATATGGGTTTTTGGTCATAGAAGTCTTACAACGATACTACAGCATCAAGGCGGTTGATGTCTCACGGCTTCATCTCTCCTGTCGACTTATCTGCCTAGATGATCACTTGTATTTGCTTTTGTCGATGTTTCCTGTCTACATGGCTCACTTTTTGAAGAAAAACAAAAGAAACCTACCCAAACAATATCAAGAAAATTAGCTCGATTCAATTCCAGCAGAATCCCATCAGCCTTTGTAAATGTCAATTGTTTGAATTGAAAATATAATCGTTAAAATTGTTTTTTTTTCAATTTTGTGTGTGATGTTGTTCTCGAGGGTTAGAACAGCAATTGAAAATGAAGGAAAATATTTTGCTTTGCCAGTTTTGTCATCCTCTGTAACTGCATGGCTATTCATGCCCAACGAGACCCGATAGACAGCATGAATCTAATTGATGTAAAAATGATGTGTTTTTCTGCTCATAATATAAACCAATATCTTGTGTTTCTTTCAATAAAAGATAAGAAAAAAAGTCTGACTCTTTAGTTTTTAGGTCCTTTTTCATCTCTTAGAACTTTAAAAGAACCTTTGTAATAAAAGCAAAGATGAGTGTTGTAGTAACACATCGAAACACAAGTAGGCGATCAATGACTGGCCGATATTAACTCACGTAAAATTATCGAGCGGTATTTAGTTTACGTTTGCCCTGAGTTAAGATTTTTCTCAGTAGCAGAAATCCCTGTAAAACACTATAGTTTAAATAATAAAGAAGTTTCGTTCTCAGTTTGTGTAGATTCCATTTGATATGTCGTGGTGGTTGCTATCCCCATTTAACACTTACTTCGGCTTGTCCTTTCGTCTCTACGACCTCGCGAATTCGTATGACGTACCTACGCAAAAGTATATAGTCGATCCGCGCTTTAAGGACACCTGCTTAATACGGCGGACACCTCATTATTATGGACAGTTTATTTTGCCCTAACATTTTCTTTACATTCAACCCGCTTAATACGGACTCCTCGTTAATTTTTGATAATTTAATTTAATTTATTCCATTTCCACTGCAAAAGAGAAAACTTAGCAAAATTACATAAGAGAACAAAAACTACATACTAGAAAAAAAAATTATTGCAGTGGGGAACTACGGACTAGAAGGGAACATACGAACCATTCGAGCTAGTCCACCCAAAAACTACAACAGACACTTGAATAAAGAAAAAGAAAAAAAAACATTAAAATTATGTAAAAACTATAATTGATAATATGTCATATCCTAGATTAATCTGATGAAAAAATAATTGTTACATCGATCACGACATCCGGGCATGCGAGTGGTCAGGGTCGAAGCTCTTCTTTTTATAGAACTCATTACATTGTTTTTTAAATAATGATAGGCTTAAATTAGAGGTCCTGAGTTTATCAGGCACGTTGTTCCATAAATATTGTAATCTATAGAAAAAAGTGCCTTTGAATAATTCGGTTCTGACTTTGTTAATCTTTAACTTATTACTAGAATATGACCTTAATCTTTTGTCTGAGCAAAATTCAAATTATCTTTCAACTGAATAGTAATGGTAACCACACTTCAGTTTATAAAATGTTGTTATGTCTTTAACTTCTCTATGGTACACCAATGGGAGAAGATTGAGCTGCTAAGGCGTTCATTGTAAGTTAAATTAGGTAGCGGAAGCCGCGTAGCACGTCGTTGGACACCCTCAATAAGACTTTGGACTCCAGATTTCAGAGGCATACTCTAAGTGCGAACGCACAAGGGCCACGTAGAGAGATCTAAATGTTGGCAGAAACTGATCGCTCCTGCTGCTGAGTGAACGACGGATAAAACCTAACATCTTATTAGCTTTGTTCACCTGGGCGTAGATGTGCTCATTGAATCGAGCATCATAAGTGATGAGAACGCCATGGCCCCCTGAGTGTTATGATTGTATGATAAAAGCTACTTGTCAACGAGATAAAACCGCAGTATCATAAATCACTTTGCGGCTGTTAAGCCCCGAGCAAACGGAAGTAACATTGTTGGATGTTACATGTTGCGTTTGCAGACCCTGTTTCATGTTGCTGCGCAAAGTTTGAGACCGGTCAAACTTTTGAACCAACAACTCGAAACATTTTTTGTTCCATGACCGCCGAAGCGTAATGCAACAATGTTTGATCCGTTTGCACAGCTCTTCCAACATTAATTGAAATTTAAGGGCCTATTAACATAGAGGAGGGGGACCCCAGGTAGGTGAGGTAACCTGCTAAGGTGGGGTAACTCGCTTGTCCATATGATCTCTCATTTAATTTGATCACGTTTACACGATAGGTGGGATGACCCGCCAAGGCGGGTAGCCCGGTCCGCTAGAGCAGGTAACCCTACCCTGGGTGCCAGAGACTTTTCTAGCGCGGTTTCCGGTTTCTGTCAAGTCTTTATGGTGACCCGCGCGAAAAAGTTTTTCTCGCGGCTTTGGCCTACGGGCGAAGATGTTTCGGCCTTCGGCCAACACCGTAAATTCCCACCGCACGCGAGAAAAACCTTTGTTACCCAGGGTAGGGTAATCCTCTCAGCCGGGTCAAATTTTGCCATGTAAACGTTTAAAGGTGGGTGTAACCCGCCTAGCGGGTTCGGATTCCTCTATTTCGAGTTCCCCTTTCCCGCATCCCGTAAGAACTTGCTATAGCCTCAAGCAGTGTGCCTAAAAAGTTCTTACACTCCCGCAGTCTGCCTCGATTTCCCTTTCCCACTTCCCGTAAGAAATATGCTATAGCCTCGAGAAGTATGCCCAAAAGTTCTTACAGTCCTGCACTTTACTTCGAATCTGCCATCCCGCATCCCATAAAAACTATGCTGTAGCGTCAAGAAGTGTAACCTGGGAGAGCATTCGGTTTTTTTGGCTCAAGAAATTAGAAACTTTAGCCCACAAAACCGGATGCTCTCGCAGGCTACAAGAAGTGTGCCTTAGCTAAAAAGTTCTTACCATCCCGAGCTCTGTAGACTACGAGTAGTCCCCCATTTTTCCTCAGGGATAGTAGCGCGAGCGAAACGCGAGCGCGCGTGAACATCACCCCACGCGAGAAAAGGCGACACGCGTGGGTTGATTTTCACGCGCGCTCGCGTTTTGCTCGCTCTACTATCCCTGAGGAAAAATGGGGGACTACTCGTAGTCTACGCGCTCTGCCTCAAGTAATAATACAAATCAATAAATAAAGATTTAGAGGTAGCACATCCACTAAGTGGTTCAGGCTTCGTCTACCTTATTCCTGGTCGAACTGGAATTTGAAAATGTTGGNGGTTTTTTTGGCTCAAGAAATTAGAAACTTTAGCCCACAAAACCGGATGCTCTCGCAGGCTACAAGAAGTGTGCCTTAGCTAAAAAGTTCTTACCATCCCGAGCTCTGTAGACTACGAGTAGTCCCCCATTTTTCCTCAGGGATAGTAGCGCGAGCGAAACGCGAGCGCGCGTGAACATCACTCCACGCGAGAAAAGGCGACACGCGTGGGTTGATTTTCACGCGCGCTCGCGTTTTGCTCGCTCTACTATCCCTGAGGAAAAATGGGGGACTACTCGTAGTCTACGCGCTCTGCCTCAAGTAATAATACAAATCAATAAATAAAGATTTAGAGGTAGCACATCCACTAAGTGGTTCAGGCTTCGTCTACCTTATTCCTGGTCGAACTGGAATTTGAAAATGTTGGTTTCAGGAGAGGGAAAAACCGGACTACCTGAAGAAAAAGCTCTCGGAGCAAGGAGAGAACCAACAACAAACTCAACACCAACAAACGGAGGGGGAAACTGTTAGTTTTCAGTGATTATTTCTTTTTTACCACACTCAACAGCGAGTCACCCACAGATCTTTTTGTTCACTTTTAGCGCGCGTGCGTAGCCTTTCTCAGACAAACCAAAGTTATCCTTGTTGTACAGGTTTTAAATATCGAAGTAAAAAGTTATAATTACCTCTCTTCTCTTTGCTTCCTTTGTTCTGTCAGGTAAATCGCGTCTCCTAGCTCTTTGAATTTAATTGCTAATCAGTCTATGGCACTCAAGTGCAAAATCTTTGAACAATACAAAGTTGCGATACGTGCATGTCGTGAAATCCCTTGGGTATGCAAAAATCCGATCCACGTGAGTGCGAATTTTAATCTTGCCCGTTGTTTTAAAAACCAGCGCGCTGTTCGAACAACTGATCAAGTTGACCAAAGCTTCTACCGGTGAAACAGACAAGAAATGCATCAGCACGAGGTTAAGGATGAACTCAAGGAGAGCAATTCTGGGGATCTGAAAGCGACCGCATCGAACCGCAATCCGAAATGCACGCGCTGTAGAAATCACGGCATTTTGTCCGATCTTCGAGGTCATAAACATCAATGCCGTTTCAAAGACTGTACATGTATGGACTGTAGAACTGTGGCTGAACGACAGCGTCTTACGGCTGCAAGGATTGCTTTATTCAGGCAGCAAAAAGGCAATGAAGCGGACATGATTGTAAACACGCCAGAGCTAGATCAGATGGAGTCCAGTCTTTTGAACGGTTGGGTGGAGGGAGAGGAACACAGAGAAGGTCGGTATTTCAAACTTCATACCTAATAAGATATTCGACTTATACCACAATTCTTTTGCCTAATTAATTGCATCCGCCAACTGAATTTTACTTTGCAAAGAACTGAATATTAGCATAGAACTTTATAAGTATACCAGTTAAGTGAAACAAGAAATTCGTCTGAGACTCGGACGTGTCGAGATAACTGATAGTGAAATATGATAGAAGCTTCAAACCTTTTCTATTTAATAAATATTTATGACAAATTAAAATTTGAAATTGCAAAGGCATATCTAGGTTTTTTCTGGCAAGAAAGCGTTTTTGAAATTTGTTTCACAGGCGATAATGTTGCAAGCTTATAAAGTCACAGAGGCAACTATAAGCTTGCGTGTCTTGCGCTAATGCCTACAAACCTCTTACTCCTTTGCCCAGTTCAGGAAAGATTTCTAATAATTGTGCGTTTACAAGCGACGCTCGCCAAAACCAACTTTCCAGTTATATTTGTCTACTCGATTAATTTCAACAAAGTTTTATTCACAGCCTGACTGTCAATTGGTTGAATGAAAAATATCCATCAGATCCAGGAAGATTAAATCAAATGACTTCAGGAAGGGCACCCCTTTTGGACATTTCCCGTTACACTGAATCACCGAATTGCTTTTCATAGGACATATTTTCTCTCTTAGTCTGGTAATCGGGGCCTTTGGAAAAGACTTTCCCATTATTGTGAAACAAATTCTGCACTTCATATTTCACTTACTTTTATAACACGGTTCCTTACTTAACCAATTTCTCCTTCTTTTCGGCCGAGTTTAACAACTGTTGCGAAAGAACTTTGATGGTGCCAGAAGCAAGTTAATATGTTAAAATAAGACAAAATCGATCTGACGGAATTCTTGATACAGTGAGTGAACATCCCTTTTCACTATTTCTGCGCAAGTTGTAACATTTCCGGCCGTTTGTCTCGAAGCTCAGTAAGACGTTGTAAATAAACCAATAGAAATCCCATATTCAATTTAAGGGACAGGCACCTTACTATTAAGAAATAATAGAAGCAGGTATTATCATCTCTCTTTGGAACAATATTTAGTTAAATTACTACAGTAGGAATATCATCAAATATGAAATGAAGTTTTTGATCAGATTGTACGCTGTAGAAGTGTCTTTTCAGAAGACGGAACTATGTTCGCGTTTTCCGGAACAGCCTTTGTGTTTTGTATCGAAGATCATCTCTTTCAATTAAATAAGTTTGCCGATGCACATAGAAGAAACCATATTTGCGTACAGTAATGAAACCACCCATGTCTGAAACGCAAATCGTATCCTTCCGAAAAGGACTTTAAAAAGTATGTTATATTTCATTTTATTTCTCCCGGTTGAAGCAAACTTTTTCAAGATTTCAAGTTGATCAGGTTACTTTTATTCCGTTGTGTAAACTCCAACATGGATTAAACAATTACTTTCAGTTTGCCGCGTTTCGCGCTTTACAGTTAAACAATGCACATTTGCTTACGTCGGCACTTTTTAAATTTTAATTTCAGATTCTCTTTTCCCCGGTAAAGCGGCTTTTGAAAAAACAAACCATTTTGTTTCAGAAGATTATAAAGCGTTTATCAGATTTCTGATCAACACATGAAAGCTTGTGGAAAAAATGTTCAGTTTAAATTTTCTTCCTTCTACAAGTGTCAAGTCTTTTTGTCTTTTCACAGCTGTTTGTGGTAAATTTGTGTTTTCAATACACAACATGGCCTCTTCCTTTCATAGTGATACTAGTTCTTTTGGAGTTTTGGACGTAAAGTACCGCCCTTAACTGTAATCAACCTTTCAATTGTAAGCTATTCTTTTCATCTTTTTAAAGGTAGGATCCTTTGTTCACGTTTCTGTGCTACAACTAAGAAACAGCGCAAAAAAATTTGGAACAATAAAAACGACAGGCCGCTAATTAAAGGCACGCTTCATTGCTTTGGTCATTTTCAAAAAAAGGAGAAGCGAAAATAAGAAACGCATAATTCTTAAGGAAAAACAGAAAAATGAAACGCCATACACAAGCCAGTACGTGCTGGCTGAAAACGTCCAAGTCATAGACCGACATAGCAGCATTTTCAAAACGTTTCCGAAGTTGTTCACATCCGTAATCAAGACATATTGTTCTACAATCCCTTTATCGTGTAATTGGTTAGAATCACATGTAAAGAACAAAAGCGAGGCATTCCTTAAGTTCCTATAGCAATAAAGGTGTTTGCTTTGTGAAATTAAAATTTTATTAATTATAAATCTGTACAGCAACGTCGCTTGCCGAAACCGTGAGAACTCACCAACGCGGTGAGCCCCAAACATAGTTTTCGCGATCAAGGCGTTGCAATGAGCTTAGTGGGGAATCGAAGTCATTTTACAAATCGATACGGTCAATTGTGGGAAACGAAACATCGTTTTTCGCCTGGTAAGCTTATACGTAATAGTCTTCTAAAATCATAGTGTAGTTCTTAAGAGTTTGCTCAAGCTAACAATGAACGTAAATTAAGGAAAATTATGTTTAGTTTCCGCTGTACTCACTCGAAATCGGTTTTCTTACTTTCCAACGAAGTGTAGTTGTATCCCAGAGAGTAAATGGAACAAACGCAAGTTTTAAATATATGTAGCGTCTTTTGATGATTTTTTCTCCTTCGTATTGCTTCGCTAACGAGATGCCCGGCCTTTTCCAGTTCAGCATATGTAATACACCGACGACTGAAAACTTATTCGTGGCTAGCGAAGCACAATGTGTTTTAACGATGGCCATATGCAAAATAATTTTAGTATAGAAAATGAACTTTTATTTGGCTCTTCCGTTGCTTGCATTTTAAAGTTTAAGATACCAAGCATAACTCTCTCTTACTTAATGTTAAATTTTATGACAATGTTTAAAGACAGAAAGACTTGTGGCTGTGACATAAAGCCCAGAAATCGTGGTTTGAAAACAGTCTGTTAGTTGTAGTTTTACTTCAACGTTTGCTTCAGAGCGAATATCTTTAACAGGCAAACAGAAAATGAAAATGAGGCTACCGATAACAGAAGTAGAAGAATGCCATTGATTCTGGTTAACCGAATATCATTCAGTTTAAAATACTGTGTTTTAAAACCGTACCTGTTTTGTTTCTGAACACGTCTTGTATGTAGGATCGGTCAAATTATACAAAAAAAAACAAAAACTTCCCAACACGAAGTACATAATATTCTGCTTTTTTTTATACGGCGCAAGGTGTCACAAACCTCAAAGTAAGGTGTGTTTAAGGATGAAACTGCTGCAGCTGGTCGACCAAGGTCTAGTCAAACCACGAGGAAAATTATTTAGTTTTTGTGAGCAGGATGTTTACGGATAGTTAAAACAAAAACAAAACAGTTAACCTTGGGTACTCGCATGCTGAATCTATATAGAAATCAAGACCGCGTAGTTCTTTGAACGATAAGGCTGATTGGTTAAATGTACGCTTGTTTTACCCTTTCTATATTCGTCTCTGATTGCGTAATTAGGGAGTTGCTTTTGGGAGAGTTTACGGTAGACACATATACTCATGGCGGACCTATTTTTATGATCATTTTGTTTCTTGGTATCTTTCACTACAGGTTTACTAAAGCGGAAAAGCAGTGGTGTAGGAGACAACGGCGAGGCCGCAAGCCCGGAGAGCTCTAACAGTGACTACAGCAGTGGACAATCATCAGCATCTAAGAGATTACACATGGAATCCCCGCTCCCCACGGTAATTCCAAGCCCCACGGATATCCTTACTAGGGCATTCCCTGGTTTATCTACCACTGTCCTAGAACACGTGTTAAAGGGCTGCAATGGAAATGTTCTTCAAGCTATTGAGGTCATTGTGCAGTACAACGCCACAAAACCGCTGACAAATGGCATGGTTGGTCAACAGAATGTACTGCAGGCTCAAGCTTCACCTGACATGATTCCCCAGGCCTCCCCTCATGCACAAGTTCCCACCCCTGGGTCCATTCCCCCCATTTTCAAGTTCAATTACGTCAATGGACAATACAGATACCTCATGCCACCATCTTTGATGCCACTGGCCTCGTACATGATGCCCACAACGAATGGTTTAGGAGTTCCGTTTCCACAATTTCCGGTCGAGATGCAAAATCACCAATTCAAGCCAGTAGAAAACACACCGGAAACGGAAGTAAAAAGCGAAAATGGAAGTAGCGAGACGAAACCTGTTGTCAATGGTTACCATACAGGTGTGTGTAAAGGCTGCGGTCAGGATACGAATCCAAATGAAAATCTCTGTTTAGCTTGCTCGGCTTCTTTCACAAGAAAATGACCTTTTTCCTCTAAAGTTATTTTAATTTATTTTTAAAGATGTTTAATAGTGAGAATTTTTGTATAAATGAATTATCTCACTGGAGATTTTATGAGAGTTTAAAAAAGTAAATTTCAGAATGTGGATAAACACAGTAAAAGTTATTTAATTTCTCAAGTAAGGTCATTTTTATTAATAATTTTATATTATTTCCTAAGCGATTGATAATGATTTTTTACCGAAGTTTTGTATTGTCAATGACCAATTCTTCGACGGTTACAGTTTGAATATAAGGACACTTCTAAATTTTTGTAAGTTTTTACACATTTAAGTGTCTTCAGTATCCATATTTGGAGTTACTAAGGAAAATTGACTTTAGAGTCGTTTTTGTAAGGCAAATTTGTCTGATCCGCGATTTTTTTCCTATTCCGCTGCGCTGCTCATGGACTCAAGTAAAGAAAAAGCGAGATTTATAAGAAAAAAGCTGTAAGTTAATGTGAAAGGTAGAGGGAAGCTAATGCTTTTGTATAAAGTAAGATTAAATTGAGAGAAGTTTAAAATTCATCGTGTCTTGTTGTTTCGTTTCCTCAATTCTGGGGTTTTTGTGGGGGGCCATCGGTTGAAAACAAAACTGAGCGCACCCACACTTGCGCAGGAAACCCAAGGAAGCGAGCACACACAGGTCTCTCTCCTCCGGAGAGGCACCCGCTTGGTATTCCAATAAAAATAGCAGTAGTTTAAGTTAAAAATAGTAAGCGCGCCGTGGACTATGGGAAGAGAGGAAAGGCGGGAACGAGGCCTCACTTCCTCTCTTTACCCTTCCCGTCGTTCCCCGCGCGTTTTCTTTTTCCTTTCCCCAGCCTCCCTATAGGCCTTCTCGCGCGGAGGAGAGTGAGCACACAGATCTCCCAGATAAATTGCATTTCAAGATAAACTTCTGCGCGTTACAGTTTATTTGTTTTCACTCGTCGCTTCCTCTAGGACAACTCTCTCTTTCCCCTTTCTCTTGAACCTAATTTTCAGCGAGTTCATAGTTAGAAATGTGACAAGAAAATAGCACCGGAAGTGTTGCTGGCTGAAACAACATTTTTAATTCATGTATTTTACAACTCTTTATACAATATGATTTTCAAT